ATTTGAATCCATCCATGGACTGAATAATATAAGAATTGTACAAATAAATTCAATTTCTTTCTTCTAAATCAATTTTCAATTTTTTTATTGGTAGAATATATCAATTGTCTCAGTCAACCTAACCTGTGATTTTTATTTTGATATTATATGTTTGTGATTATATCAAATAATTAATTGAGTTGGAAATTGAAATTTTCTTAGATCATAGCCCATTTCAACTATTGTTATTGAATTCTTAATACACAGACCCAGCGTGTATACCACAGTAAAATTTTGCCTTTTTTCCACTCACCTTATTAGAAATGCAATCTAGAAGTGCAACTGACCCAGAAATAAATTAGTTAGTCATGGATTTATTTCTTAGTAGGCTTATGATTGCTGATGAAATGTCAGACACATTCAGTAAATTGATTATAGATTGTATCGGTCTATATCTTTATCCTAAAATTAAAAACATACATTTTAAAATTATCAAGTAAAAAAGGGTTAGAGATGGATATATGGTATTAGAGCTTTGGTGACACAGTGATTGGAATGTAGTATTGCAGGCTAATTCTGCTGACTACCGGGAGTTTGATTCTGAATGGCTCAAGGTTGATTCAGCCTTCCATCCTTTCGAGGTCAGTAAAATGAGGACCCAGATTGTGGGGGGCAGTATGCTGACTCTGTAAACCACTTAGAGAGGGCTGTAAAGTACTGTGAAACAGTAAATAATAATAATAATAATAATAATGATAATAATAATGATAATAATAATGATAATAATAATAAAGTTGGAAGGGACCTTGGAGGTCATCAAGTCCAACCCCCTGCTCAGGCAGGAACCCTACACCATTTCGGACAAATGGCTGTCCAGTCTCTTCTTAAAAACTTCCAGTGTTGGGAGCATTTACTGCTTCTGGAGGCAGGTTGTTCCACTGGTTAATTGTTCTAACTGTCAGGAAGTTTCTCCTTAGTTCTAGGTTGCTTCTCTCCTTGATCAGTTTCCATCCGTTGCTTCTTGTCCTGCCTTCAGGCGCTTTGGAAAATAGCTTGACTCCCTCTTCTTTGTGGCAGCCTCTGAAATATTTGAGCACTGCTATCATGTCCCCCCTATGTCTAAGTGCTATTGCTATGTATGTATGTATGTATGTATGTATGTATGTACACACACACACACTAATTTCTCTCTATATGACTTCATTTCATCTGCAGTGAAGCAACTGATCTATCTAGATCATGTCTATGAACTTCTGTAATAAATAAGTTCATGAATATGGGGTTAAGTATCTGAGGAATTGAAATTTATTTCTGTATTTCTATATGTATATATATATATATGCATATCTGACCTCTAGTAAACAGTTTTTTAAATGTTCTTCATTGATTAAAAATTATGGGGAAGAGCTCTGTTTTAACTTTCTCCAAAATATTGTTTTGGTGAGGGCGCTATTCAGGTTTGAAATTAAGCTGTTCATAGCATTGAGGCATGCCCTAAAAACATCACCCTCTCTTTTGATCTCACATGAGAGACACTCTCAGTATCCCTGTTTAGATTAAACAAGCTGGACAAATGTTTCTCAACTTCAACTTTCTCAACGCCATATGGCTGGGGAATTCTAAGAGTTGAAGTCCACATAGCTTACACTTGCTGAGGTTGAGAAACACCAAAGTAGACAGATAATATCTCCCTGAAGTAGAAATTCCTATAAATACCTACACGTTAAGCCTTCAAATGTTTAATAGGTTAAAACTAACACTTTGAATGACTTCAGAAGCCAAATGCCTATGCAATGCCTATAGAACCAGTGTTATATGACACTATATGAGAATGGCCGAAAAGATCATTGGCAGTCCCCTCCCTCCCATCCAGGACATAGCACAGAAGCGCTGCTTGAGCAGGGTCCGTAAGATTATCTGGGACACTACACATCCTCTTCACGACCTGTTTTCCTTGTTACCTTTTGGGAGGAGGCTTCGTGGTATCCGCAGCAGAACATCCAGATTCAGCCATAGTTTCATTCCATACAGCATTGTGAACTCTCAAGCCTCCTCCTTTCGTTATATATTCAAGATGGACAATATTTAATATTTATTTGTTATGTATATGTAGGGGTGTGGGTCTATACATATGTTGTATATAGTATGCTTTAGGTGTGTGTCATGTATGTGTTTCACTTTGAGAGCGGGCAACTAAATTTCATTTTTGAGGTGTGCCATTGTGCCCACAGTAAAAAAAAAAAAAAAAGACAATAAAGGTTATCCTATCCTATCCTATCCTATCTTATCTCCAAAAGTTAGATTACAGTTCCCACTGTGATTGAGTGACCAAATTTGATGGATTGTGTTGGAATCCAGAAAATTTGAAATGTCATAGGTTTCTCACTCTGACTCTGAGATCAAAAATAATCTGGATGACTGCAACAGAAATTTCATGTAAACAAGGTGAAATTGCAGTTCACTGGCAATATGGCTGCTCAAAATATATAGTTATGCTTGTCCATAATACTTGGCATTATGAATTGAGGCTGGGCTGATTATGCATGGGGCAAAAATTGAAGTACTATGCATATTGCCTTGAGGAAAGGAGAAAATGTAAATCAAACAAATACACTTCAATTTCATCTGGTAATAACAATGGCTTGGGAAGACTTTTACCAGTTTTGATTAATTTTTCTGGATTTTGCTTATAGCTACTTGTATTCTATTAGCAACTAAATGAAATAACAGTATACATGTATAATATACTATACTTGAGATTGTGTTTGAAGAATGTTTGTAATATCAAGTGGCCAAAAATGTAGCTGAAAGATAATTGATGAGACTTTTTGAATCATGAACTACACTTAATATTTTGAAAGAAAGTCATCCAAAATGGTTGTGCCATGTCACATGCATAGGTGGGACTGGTTTTTCTTTATTAGTTATTTTCCACCATTTAGGGGGAAATGATTTATTGCTTTTCAAATTGTATAAAGTCCATTTTAAGGATTACACTATCAGTTTTAACTTTTTCTACACCATATATTTTCAGCAATCATATCACTGAATTTTGGAAAGCAGTCAGATGCTACAGTATACAAATGTACCCTGGGGTTAAATGACTTACGGGTCCACAATCTGCCTGCTCTTAATTTAGAGAATAACTTCAGTTTTTGTATCTTCAGCATATGTACATTTATAGATGGTTTTCATCTATCTATTTATTCAGAGTAAATTTGGCTGTTTTAAAGCTTCTAAGTCATGTGAATCAGAAAGGTATCCTTTTATATTTTTTGACAATCTGAATTATCTGTGGCCACATACTTTTTTCTGTAGGGGCATCCTGTTTATGGATCTTTCTGCCAAGGATTTTCATTTTATTAAATCCCCCCTCTCCCCATTGTTTTGTATTTAGGGTAAAGATGGGGAGGCTTTGATATATTCATGGTGCTGTTTTGTTTCGTTCTAATTTAGTAGAGAAAAGTTCCTTTGATGGTAGGATAATTTGGTGGGAATATGCACTTGATTGGAGAAGGTTGATGTACTACAAGTAATCCTCAGGTTATGAAAGCAATTAGGAACAGGAATTCTGTGGCTAAGCTACTTGGTCATAAAGCATAACATCACATGACCTGATTGCTTAGCAATGGCAATTCCAGCAGTCCCAGTTGCCATTGTTAAATGAACATTTCATGTGATTGAAACTTCTGACTTCCTGCCAGCTTCCCCATTGACTTCACTTGTGAGATGCTGACAAGGAAAGTTGGAAATTACAATCATGTAACCATATCTTACTGCAATTTTGTAATTGTGAGCTGGGTGCAAGGGCTCAGATTACAATCACATTCCTACAGAGATACTGCAAAGGCTGGAATTCCAAGGACCTGTCATAAGTCAGTGCCATTGTAACTTTGATCACTGAATAAATGATCATAACCTGAGGACTACCTGTAGTCTTACTATAATTAGTCCTTGACTTACAACAGTTCATTTAGTGACCATTCAAAGTTACAACAGTACTGAAAAAAATGACTTATGACCATTTTTCATTCTTAAATCACTGCAGTATCCCTATGCTTTCATGATCAAAATTCAGATGCTTGGCAACTGACTCATATTTATGACTGTTGCCGTGTTTCAGGTTCATGTGATCCCCTTTTGCGACCTTCTGACAAAGTCAATGGGGAAGGCAGATTCACTTAACAGTTGTGTTACTAACTTAACAACTGCAGTGATCATAAAAGGTCATAAAAAGAGGCAAAACTCACTTAACTGTTTTACTTAGCAACAGAATTTTTGTGCTCAATTATGGTTATAAGCCGAGGACTACCTAAAATATGTATTCTTTTTAAAGTGGCTTTATTATTTTCAATGTATTAACTGTTCCTCTATGAAGCTATATGGAATCAAAAAGTATGTTATACACCTCAAAGCATTATGTTCACAGTTTTACACTTTGTGTAATTAAAAATAGCAGTGAGTTATATTTTATACTGATTAATGCAGGCAAGAAAAACTATTAATAAAATATGTTTCTTCCTGCTTATTATGTAAAGAAAGATTGTCTGGGTGGAAACACATGTTTTTTTTCCTGGCTCTATTATGTAGGAGAACCTAATTGACCTTGGCTACTCTTGAAAGTTAAGTTTGGCCTGCTTAAAAATACCAAGGTTTGGCCTAGATTGGGGGGAGGGGCTTTGAAAAAAAAAAAATCCACGTAGTCAGTCCATATCCAGGTAGGTACCAGAGGTTAATTTCAATCAAAGGGAAATCTTTATCTACAAGTGGATGTATTGTAAGTTACTTAATGTAGCCCATGAATGGGAAGTTTTTTTGTGTGTGTGGTTGTTCTAAGAGGTCAGTCTTACTTGATCCATTCCATGGTGTAAAGAAAAACATTTTAAAAGTATACAGTAAAGCTTTTAATACTTATTTATTTCAGAACTCCATGTAATGAATAAGGAGAACGTAGGTCATTTGAACAAAAGCCCCAAATTTACCCAAAATGTTTTGATTGCTTTCTCTAACTTTTCTCTTAGGTACAGCACGTGGGAACCTGAGGAACACATTCTTGACCCTCGTCTGGTGATGGCTTATGAAGAAAAGTAAGTTTTTTTTTTCATTTTGGAAAAATTAAACGACAACCTCTAGATTTTTGGGGAAAGGGATGCAGCATGACTATATTAGTGTTTCCCAATTTTGAGCAACTTTAAGATGTCTGGACATCAACTCTCAGAATTTCCCAGCCAACATATGGACTAAAACCATTTCTCACAGTTCATCTGGGCAAGGCAAGGTCACACTTATGTCACACACTTAGCTAAAATATGAACTTCCTGGTGTGGCTTAGTTAACAAAGGGTTTCCCAACGGGTTTTGGAAGTGAAAAGCTTCCAAAAGATTAGCTGTCATTAAGGAATATAATAAAAGCAAATCATTTTACAGATGAGTTCTTCAGCTTACAAGTTTTTATATACGAGATGCGGAATAGATAGCAAGGTAAAAACATTTTGACCTAGATTATTAGGTTATCCTATGATGAGAATGTCAATTTGCTATGTTTTGGCCATGTTGGCTGGGAATTCTGGAATCTGTAAATACAACACATCTAACTGGCACTGGATTGAAGAAGGCTAATATACTAGTCAACCTTTTCCTTGAAAGCACTTTTAGATTTATTTAAGTTGTTGACAAGGGAAGATCTTTTTGTGTGCATGTTTAGGTATCACTTTTTAGTTATAGTGATCAGTTGCATGGAGAAAATTAAAAGCTATAATTACCAACCAAATTCACACAAAATCCTTCTTAATTTGATCTATATTTGAGTCAGCATTTCCTTGGAAGCATGTTTAAGTAATACGAAGGAATATCTGTACAAAAAGCTTTGTGGATTTGTGCTGTTTCAACAAACAAAACTGCTAGGCATTTTCTGTCTCTTTAGGGAAGAAAGAGAGCGTGCCTCAGGTTACAGAAAGAGAGGTCCCAAACCCAAGCGCCTGTTGCTGCAGGTAATATTTCAGATTTACTAAATGTTGATGCCTATTCCTGAATCCCAGTATTGATATTGTAGTTCAGCCTCTCCCAGTTTTGAATTCCCAGACTCCACAGGCCGGAGAGAAAGCTCTGCTAGTCTTATTGCAGCAAAAGCAACAGAATCCTCCGGTATCTCATGTAATAGATTGTGAGTCCTGAAAGCATATGCATTAGGACATCACAAGATTCTTTTTGGCAGATATTATTAGGCTTTTAACTTGTTTCACTTACAACCAACATACACAGGGAAGATAGGAGCTGTAGTCCAGCAATTTCTAGGGATATCTAACCTTCCTTTTCTCTCTTACCATATACATTGTGAAAGGACAATTAGTTATCAGAATTACATCTTAGTTATAAAAAAATGCTTTGCCCATAGTTCAGAGCAATTTTATACGTTCCACTGGTAACAATCATCGTCCAATGGAAGCTTTTGCTCTTGTGCAAATAAGCGTTAATAATTTTACTGATGAAATAAGCTCATGTAGAACTCATGAAATGTACATATTGACTATAGGCCATTTGGCTGAGTAGAATTTGGGGAGCTGGAAGCCCATGGCACTGGAAGAACTTGAGTCTTTGCAAGTTATGGCTTGTGTGAACCAAACTGCATCACAGACTTCTTGAGCTGAGACTGCTTTTCTTCATTTTCAGAGACTATATAGCATGGACCTGAGGAGTGCCCACAAAGGGAAAGAGAAACTCTGCTTTTCTCTGTCCCGGAGGTTTGGGGGAGGAGGAAACAACTTGGCAGGGGCCAAGGGAGGGCAGACAGAACTGTCTGAGAAGAGTGGCGGAGCGGTCCTGCCCTTTCCTCTTCGGAAACAGAGCAAGAACCAGAAGTACCTGCGCCTTTCACGGAAGAAGTTCACCCGCATGTCAAGCCTGGAGAATCGGAATCGTCGTCGAGAATTTTTCTTGAAGGAACCCATGGTTCTTGAGGACAGGCAGCCACCCAATGATTGGGATGATGCAACACAACCTGCTACCAAGGAAGGTAAGCCTGGAACCATCCCCAGCTTTGCCATACCAGCTTCATCTTGCTGGGCAGCTTGTGATTTTCTCTTAGACTGCAGCATTCTGGGTTTATACATGGGGACGGGATTTTTAATTTGCCATTCGTACCTCTCAGGCATAGACAGTTCTTTGGCAGCTTGAGCTAAAAGAGTAATTGCAAACTACATTCAGTCAGTGACTGTTCAAAGTTATGACAGAACTGAAGAAATGGTAGTTAGACTGGTCCTCAAGAGTAATGCCACTCCTAGAAAGTTAATAGGGAAGCTGGCAGGGAAGGTTGCAAGTTGCTGGGGTAAGTCTTCCCCACCTGTGCATTCTTCCTCAGCCCCTCTGTCCTTGTGCTGGCTACTCACACACTCCTGCACCCCCATTCACCCTCTCCAACACCACACCTCTCTGGCCCCTTCGCCATTTCTATATACACCTTGCTCCCTCCTCCATCTGGCAGTAACCACTTACCTGCATGCTGGCTTAGGATTTGCAACTTCCTGCCGGCTTCCTCACTGACTTTGGTTTTAAGAAGCCAGCAGGAACTTGCCTTGTTTAAAGACTGTAGGATTCAGTTAACAATGGTAACCGGGATTGCAGGGATTGTTGTCACTAAGTGATGCAGTTGTGCTTTTCAACTGCCTCGCTTAGTGACAGAAATTCTGGTCCCATTTGCCATTGTAAGTCAAGGACTACCTATATTGTTGAGCAGTAGGCCCTTTAAATCCAAGCTTCAGGTCAACTAAGGGTTGGACTGATGGAAAGCCAGTTGCTTGCTAATTTAGGTGGCACTTGTAGAGTAGCCTTGCAGTTCTTGCCAACAGACACCACAGGAGCGAAGGCTTTTTCCTATGGATGGTTCAGGCTGCACTTTTGGTAGGAGCTCCTAACGCCATCTTGCATATTCTTCTATCTAAAATATTTCTAATATGACAGACAAAATACGCTGATCTTCTTTGCTGGCTCTTCTTTAATATACGCTACAGAAGTTATTCCCCTTTCTCCTAAAACTTAAAAGATTTGTAAGTCATGAAGAAAACTCGAAGTAAACACTGAGATATTTACACTGCCGACCGAATGCCCTCAAAAACTTTGGACAGTAATTCCTATATCACAGCCAGCATGTCCAGCACATCTGAAGGGCCCCAAGCTGAAATAATTGAGTCAGCACTTCTGCAAAACTACAGGTTTATGCTTGTGAGGAATCAAGAATGTTATAAATGGTTCACGCAAAATTTCTAGTGTAGGTATATATGAATGTTACTGTTTATTAGTAGGACATTTTATATTTGGGGCAGGTTTATGTTTACATTACCTTGCATGCATAGTATGAAACAACTGAGTAGCTGGTGTATATTAACTCCCAGTGAAGCTATAGTATGCATATAACTTTGATTTCAAATGGAATATTCACAATAGGACCTGGACTGTTTGCCAAGATAATGTGCTATATATATATATTATGAGTGAAGCAGAGTTGCTTTCTGGATATTGTCATTTCATTGCTTATGCTTAAAAGTTGTACACATATCACAGTTTAAATTACTTCACCAGATATCACCCACAAATTGCAAAGTCTGCATTCATATCCATAGGAAATGTATTTCTGAAATTGTACTAACTTTAGAATTTACTGAAAAGTAAAGTCTCCTTTGAGCATGCTTTTTTCTTGGCAACTGTGTGGGAAACGTTTGGCATTATTTTCTTCTCGGGCATTTATTCAATTTCTAATCTGGTCTACAGTCCTGTTTCTTCAAGGTCTCCCACTCAAGTGCCTTTAAGATCCGATCCTCAAATCAGTCAAGTTCTGCTATGTATTGTCAACTATTTTAACTCAAGAGCTTAATGTTTTATACTATCTATATAATATAGGTAGAGCAGTGGTGTATGATATCATGTATGTGGGCAGAACTGGGGTTTGGTTTGAGGGTAATGGACTTACAGGTGCATAAAGCCTGTCTGTGTTGCTTTTGCTTTTTAAAAAATAATCAGTAGACAATGCATCTCCTGTAAAATATAGTTGACTATCCGAGATATGTAAACATCTCTTTAAATTGACCTTTCTTTGGATGAGATGACATAAGGAATGCCATTGGATGCCATTTGGATAAGACGGGCCTATGAAAGTTATAGAAATAGAGTCTTAGGTAGAGTGGACCCCAGTCAAATATCCATTCAGAAGCCAGAAATATCCTTTTAAAAGATGCTTATTCTTATTCTATCCCCAAGTAAAACTGAATGGTGCAATCTGGATAAAGAACAGAAAATGAGGACTTTCCTCTTTTCTTATTTTTATTTGTAAAAGACCAACAAGAGAAGACTAGAGAACTAATTGTAAATTCAGTTTGTTGTGGCTCTGAAGGAATTTGTTTAATTCATATGCCTTTGCATTTAAGGGAACCATTTTGAGAGTTTTGTAAATAGTAGTAAACAGTCCTTCTTTTAGATCTTCATGTGTAATTACTATTTTCTTGTATTAAGTATTAATGGAAGACTGAGGAAAATATCCCTGTGGTATTTAGTTTCACAGTATAAGTAGAATTGCAGTGAAAGTACTTTGCTAGTGCTTCAGTGGATTGGGGAAGAAGGTATGTGGGATCTGAATTCAGTTGTACAATATTCTCTTTTAAAGTCTTGGAGATTCTCTGGGGACAGATAAATGCTAATGTAAGTACATCCTTGCACTGATTGGAATTGCTGGAATTATAGCAGTATTTGCACAATTACGTATTTGTTGTATCTGTGCAGGCATGTGATTGTGTTCCTGCTACCTCTTCCCTTCCTAGGGGTTATGTATCTATTCTACAAGAGTTGATCTGTTTCATGAGCAGGAATGACCTTTGATACCTATGGAGTTTTTTTTTCCCTTCAGTTTGTTCCTCCTCATCACAGTTTTTGTTTTTCTGCCCTCTCCCTTTTCCACAGTGGGCCCAGAGACAGCAGAAGTCCCTTTTGCCTGGAGCCCTGCATTGCCCCCAAATGAAGTGACAGTTACAGACATCACAGCAAACTCCATTACCGTGACTTTCAGAGAAGCTCAGATGGCAGAAGGCTTCTTCCGAGACCGGAGTATCCAATTCTAAATCTGCTGTTTGTTAACTTTTCTCTCTCTCTCTTGGTCTTTCCTCATTAAGGGAATTTTTGAGTTTGAGTTATTCTTGCATTCCCAATCAGGTTCCATTACACTTTCAATGATATTATTTAGAAAAAGAGAATGCGGGGGGAAAAAATCTCTTTACAAAAGTTTACAGAGCATTTTAATTTTTTGGACAAGTGGTCATACTGACATTCTTTTTGGTTGTATTCACCTTTCAAATACATGAAGCCAAGGTAAAGCAGTGTGAGGAGTACCTGTGCTTCCCCCCCTTCATTTGTTACTATAGATAGAAAAAGAGTGTATAGATATATTACTTGTCTGTTGTTGCTTTGTTTGTCTGGGAAACTGAAGCTTTTTTCACTGGCAAAGATACTTATTCATGGTGCATTGTGGAAAAATGTCAATTTCTTAGTTATGGCATATACCTTCTGCACTCAAAGTTAAGGGCTCAGTGTCTGAAATAGGAAAGAGGCCAAATATAAATATCCCTGACCTCCTCTTCCAAGTTCAGTGGACTTCTCTAGGTCAAGCTGTTTCCCTGATCTGCTTCCCCTCCAGGTGCATATATAAAAACATTACTCCCCTTTTTCTTTTGGGTGTCTGCCTTTCAGTTCTTAATGCTTTTTCATTTACTAATACTGTTGATGATTGGGCTTGCTGCCATTCATGATGCTTCCAGAGATCCTATAATTTAGAGAAGCAACTACAGCTGGTATACTGGCTTTTGGGGTTTGGGCTTCCAAAGAATTGTGCTGTTTTTTTCTTTGCTTATGGTTTATTAATAACAGGAGCACAAGAAAAAGGTATTGCTATAATCAGGCATGCCTGTATAAGAGAAGCCTAGCTTATTACTTATCTAATGAGGTAAGCCCAGTAGTTTTTATGGTCTTTTCCTAGGAAGCCTGCAGCTTTTCAACAGAATAGGAATTCCTCAGTAATTGCCACTGACAACTGTACAGTATGTAGTCATAAACATGTTTCCATGTGTCCTTGAGTATGACGATGGCTTGGATGGAATTGTTACAGATCCCAAAAATTCTGTCTTACTTCAGATGCCTTTGTAATATGCAATAGGAGGGCTTACTATCTAATTAGATATATAGTTGGTTCTTGATATATATGAAATTTGAATTGCTTATTGGAGACTCGGCTTATATCCATTTGCAGGTTTGTAGTTAGATGTAGAGAGTGGACATGTTTTAGCATATATGCATTGTTGATCCCTGAAAAAATTCTGGTACACCAAATATACTCCAAGAGGAAAAGATACAACCAGTTTCTAAAATGAAAAACAACCCAAGAATTTAGCTCCTTCAATTAGTTTTATATATGTTTCTTGTTCCCTATGCAGTTAATTACCTGACACACACAAAAGGAATTGCCCGGTATATTTAACCTTTTAAACAGGTAAATAATTGGGAGACTTTTTTTGAAACGGATTCTGTTTTAGGCAAGCCTCATTGGACATCTGGTTGTCAGTTTGATACTATTAAGTACACTTAAAAGGATATTTGGACTGTATATCTCTGTGTATGAAACTATATTTTGCTAGGCTTCAAATGGTTTGAGGAACATTGCATTAACATTCTGTTCTTACTCACATTGGTGGGATATTGTGGCTTCAACTTCCATTACATGACCATTGTTAATAAATTAACTTCATGCGTCTACAGTATGGGAATGTTGCATGAATTAAAAGTGGAAGTAGTTGATGGAGTAAAGGATTTTTAGTAGAGTCAAAACAATTACCAGTTTTGTTTAGAAATTTAATCAAAAGTGGCATTGGCACTGATTTTATTGTACTAACTGATCCAATACAGGATCAGAAATACTAGAGCAGAGAAATGGATTGGAAGATAAGTATGAGACAAAAAACTAATTTTAATAATTTGTTCTCCAAAGGACACTATTTGATTTCTTCCTCATATTGGTACTTCTGTATATTTTTCTGTACAAATATTTTATGAAGATCTCTGCCAGGAGAAGCTGCTTGCAGTTGTATAGGACTCTTGTCTTGCACTTTAGTACCTTGAAATTTGTGCTGGACTTCTTTGTGAATGCTTTGTTTTGTTTTACAAAAACTGTTGTACCTACGAATTGTATAGCTTTAGCATATGTTCTTGTGCATATGTGCTTCTTTTAAGTTTGCTTGAACAGATGAACTCTAGAAAATAATTTTCCTATGGAAAGTGACAATGGAATGGTAGAAGGTAGAACTGCAATCCAAACCCTAGTTTTCGAAGAATTTAAGGTCAGTTGAAATGAAGATGTCTTGCTTTACTAAAAAAAAAAAAAGAGAGAGAGTAAAGATTGAAAGGAAAAACCAATGTGTATAGCATGTTCTAATGCATCTTTTGATCACTTCTTATTTGTTTATTGATCTCAACTTTTTAACCCACAAAAATGCTTTTCCCTTTGATTGATGAAATTCTTTATTAATTCAGAGATTTATAAAAATAGAAATGTTAAAATCATGTGAGGCTTCTACAACTAGTCTTCCATCAAGACTTTTACTACCAACCTGATGTCAAATTCTAGAAGGGTAATTTGGACAAAGTTGTTGTTTGCCAACTCAAAGAAGCTATTTGTTGATGCTTAGTGCAACAGCTGCAGGTTTTTTCTTTCTCAGAAGTTTTAAAGGAAGAGATGTCATTATGGGTCAGAAGGTATAAATTGGGATAGTTCACATTATTTCACACTGACAAAGAAATATGGATTTCTTGAAAGTGGGGAAGGAATATAATCAATTCCCACCTTTCTGAACTATTTTAGCCTCCTTTATTCTACATTAGATTGCAGGCAGCATTAACATAGTAAGAGCCCAATTCTTCTGAGCTCTTAATATGAGTCCCAGAGAAAATATGAAAGCTATGCTTTCCCCAAAGAGTTTAGGCAATGAATCATGACTTAGTATGATAAGCAAGCTCCATTTGTATGTTATGTGAGTGAAGCTGGAAACTGAAATTCTAAGACCTGATCACCTTCAACTCAAACGTATCATGTGATGGCATAAATTTATTATAGATTTAATGACTTAAGGGAATAAATACATTAATTTTGCTAAGTACGCAGCTGCTAAAGGAATGGTGTTTGTTCGAGAGAGCAGAAGATCCAGTTTAATTCATGCTTAAAATGCACCATTTCCTCCAGTAAGAAAAGTTGAGTATAAGTTGAGTTTAAGATGATCTTCAAGAAGAGCATTGTCATATGTAAGTGTATGATTAATGAATATACATTTCATATTATATCATTATATTGTACGTTACATTGGTAATGTTTTCTTTGGTTTTTAAGACACAGAAAATGTGTAGCTTCTCAGTTTCTAGTAACATTTTGCTATACTATTCAGGGTGAGATGCATTGCTTCAGCAAAATGTAGCATTATTATGGCTGTAGATTTTTTGATCCTTTAGTTTCTCCCATTTAAAAAATATGCCAAAGTGATTAGTATAGTACCAACGTTTTTAAAGTTGTTCAGTAGTCATAAAGTTAGTCCAAGTCCAGTTTGAAATCTAATCCTATTACTATACACTTTTTCTTGTTTAATATTTCTTATATGCATAGATAGTTGAGCTGTTCATATTTTTGGTGTGCATGTACTTTATGTGAGAAGGGGTATGTAGAGAAAGGGCCATTTTTTTTTTATTTGCTGCAGCTAAGATGTATATATGCTATTTGTGCATATGCTGTAATGCCTTGTGCCAAAGAAGGTAGGATCATTTGATGTTTCATGTTTGTATTTTCAGCATGATTTGGAAAAGTAACCTCTTAAGTTAGATAACAACAGAGATATGAATAAATGTAAAAAAAAAGAGAGGGAGAGAGATAGATGAAGTTCTGTATTAAGGAAATCTAACATAAGTGTACATTTGATATCCTCCAGTAATATAGTACCTTAATAGATGCTGTTCCTTGCCAAAAAGATTCTTTTCCTTAAGCCACTGAGGGATTAAAGAAAAAAAAACTGCAATAGTTATGAAGACTATTACAAATTATTGTATAGTTATGTTGATGTTTCTTGATATGCAGATTGATAATGAAATAGGAGCAGCTGACAGCTTGGACTGTCAGTTGCACAAGACAGTATAGCATTCTTTAAGAAATGTTAGGAAATATGAACTTGTTAAAAATGTTGAAATGTACTAAGTTTTCCTTTCCATTAATAGGAAACTTTCTTGAAAGAGACAGCCCCTAGTATGAAAAATCTAATATGAAAAGGCAAATTCTTATCACTTCCTGGAGCTAAAGATTAAACATGTACAGGTTTAAAACAGATTTGAAGAATCCTGAACAATTTATAATTTCAGACCCATATAGATATTGGGCTACACACTAGTCTAAAGTTTAACAGTGAACAGAATTCATTGGAGGAAGGGAAATTTTAATGTATCAAAATACATATTTTAATTGGCCCAACTAAACTGCACACACACACCTTGTGGGAAGAGATACAAAGTATATTTGCAGTAACGGTTTTACTTGGCTGTAATGTAGTATGTCTGTACATCTGATAACCAATTTGCAGGTTTGTATTATGGCAAAACCAATCTAAATACAAAAAAGTTGATACCAAGGGTGTAGGCCTATGCATCTTACTGGGAGTAAATATTAGTGAGCACATTGATGCTTCCTTTTGAACGTAAGATTGCACTGTAAATGCTTATTTTCATGTATTTAGGAATGGCATTATTAAGATACAAAGTTAGCCATTGTAGACCCCAAGCTGCTGTTCTTTTATAAATTGTGATTAGACCTTTCCAACCTAACTGCACAGTATGGTCCTCATTTTAGAAAAAAGAGAATGACTGTTCTTTAGAACAATTCCAAACTTCCCTTGAACTCAAAAAACTTTCCAGATACCAGCAATAAGTTATTTCTGATAGATTCCTCCAGCTTTGTGCATGCTAGTCAAACGCAGCCTTGTGACACTCTTCCATTTATGTCTGTATATATGATGTATATTTTAATGCATATTTTTCAGAGTTCATCTTTCCCTAACAAATTGCACTTTAAT